GCAAGATGATGCACGATATGATCGGCAAATTCGTCTTTGGGGCGATGAGGGTCAATCTAGTATTGGGCATGCTAGTGTCTGTGTATTGAGTGCATCTGCTTTGGGATGTGAAGTTATCAAAAGTTTGGTACTTGCTGGTATTAAATCTGTGTATATTATCGATTCTGCCTTCATATGCAAACCAGATTTAGGCAATAATTTTTTTGTTGACGATGAGGTCGATCAACCGAGAGCGAAAGTTGCACTACGATTGCTTATGGTATATAATTATGTAGTTTGCTTGTTTAAATATTCTCGATTATAATGTAAAGTGATCTGCTTTTGCATCTCATAATCATAGTCATTCATAACAGATAGTTGATTTGCTATTGAATCTAAGCACACAAGATTTGTTGATTCTTTCTGATTTATAAAATATTGGTAGAAATGATATAGTGGTTACCAATTTTAGAAATTGCAAAAGGAGGACTTGGTTAAAAAATGCTAATTGAGTGAATTTGTCCCTTCAATCCATATTTTCCAGGAGCTAAATCCATCAGTGGAAGGAAGTTTCGATTTCGGAAATCCTGAAGATATCATTACCAGAGACATGGATTTTATAAGACAGTTTGCTGTTATTGTTGGATGCAATTTGAATATTGACGTTGCTGCACGAATAAATGATTTTTTATTTGAGAAAAATATACCTTTTATTCACGCAAGGTTAGAATTTCATACTCTAAAGGGGATCCAGATGAGGTATAAGTTACGACTATAGCGTCAAAAAATATAGTCATAACTTATATTTAATCTGATTTAATTAGGCTCCGTGAACTTGGAATGAATTTCAAACATTTTTCTGAATTTTGGAACTATTTGTTCCAGCACTGCATTTTCAAAATGATTTTACTTTGTTTGAATAGCATAATTCAATTTTGCTTGTAAGAAGGCGCTAATTCAAATAATCTTTTAACAGAGCATATGGTTTTATTGGATTTATACGAATTTCCGTTCAAGAACACACAATTATTGATACACACGAAGAGAATGTATCACCTGATTTAAGGTAATATAGTTTTTGATATTTATGAAAGGTAGATTTTCCGATTTAGTTTTTTCAAATTTTCTATATTGAATCCCGTGGAATCCTTTATTGAGCCTTTTTAGACGTATTTTGCAAAGGGTACGGTATTCAGGCTTGACTGTCCGTTTCCGGCATTATCTGAATTGGTAGAATCGATAGATCTAAGTGGGATGCCTTATGATGCGCATTCCCACACACCATATTTAATTTTATTTTTGAAAGCGCTCGCGTTATGGCGAGAGAAGTATGGCCGAGATGATTTTCCGGATAGTCGTGAAAAAAGAAAAACATTTGAAACGGTAAATAATTTAAATGTTTTATTTCTTTTACTAGATTCAGCTTCTATACTGTTTTTAAAAATCTTTCTCACCTCTTATTATTATTAGTTTAATCTTTTTTTAAAATTGTTTTTCTTCGAAATAATAAGGTAGAATCTTTAAAATGATCAGTTATTTAGATTTTTATGTCACTACGGATGCCACACCCCGAAAATGGATCCATTCAGGAAGAAAACTTTGCCGAAGGTCACACCGCAATGATTCGCTCATTGAAAAAAACAACGGTTGATGTTTATAATATGTGGAATCAATAATTGTTGACGAATGTTGGTTTAAAATATTTTCATCTTAAAATTCTTTATTTTTCGTTTTTAGATACCATTGGGGGTAAAAGAGTTACTGGATCATCCAAAAGCACAACAACCAGATTTGACACGATTTTGGTTATTGACCGCAGCCCTGCGGCGTTTTGTCACTGTCCACGGAGTTCTGCCTGTACGAGGTAGTTTGCCTGATATGATCAGTGATTCGGAAAGCTATGTTCTTTTAGTGGCAAAGTTTCGTGATAAGGCTAAACAAGATGCGAAGGAGGTTTGAGTTTTCGTTGGAAACAGCTTTGAGAGTTGAAGCTTTCCGTTTGCATCGATCATGTGAAGTCATTCGCTTCTTACGTACATACATCACTTCAAAAATTTAACAGTTAAATTTTGAAAGAAGGCTTTGCTTTACATAGTCGAATTTTTATCTCTAAATAGCATTAAAGAATTTTGAAAAAAATGGCGGGATTAAAAGATTTATGATCAAAAAGGATAAAAGTGTCAGAAGCAATGACCATTGGTCAGGGATAGTGGTGTTATCATTGAACTTATAGGTGATGAGTTATCTTCATGAATTTCTTTCGGAGCAAGGTATATCAACTGATATCATTAAATTTTCTGATTGCGAATTTTTCTGCAAAAAGGCTGCCTTTCTACGAGTACAACATGGAACGACTATTGCTCAGGAAATGAAGTCATCGTTGGAGGTTTGATTCGATTAATAAGAAGAATTTATGTGCGACAATGTAATAAAAAAAAAAAAACATTTGAGAATTTATAGTTATGTCAGTTGCACGTAATACATAGAAAATGGATTTGCATGAAATTAGTGAGTGATTTTACAACATTTCAGGAAGTGTTCAATGACATACGAAATGCGGACTTGACGCCTAATTCCGTGACAGGTGTTCCTGAAATATCACCAGCGGTATGGTATATTTTATTGCGAGCTATTGATAGGTAAGTAAGCATTTTTTGCACATAGTTGATTACTTTCTGTATGTTATTTATGAATGCATGAATGTTTAGGATCTGACAAGAACTTTTACTAAGTTCATTATATTTAAGGTTTCATTCCGAAAAATCGCGTTTCCCAGGAACAAATGGTGTACCATGCACTATAGATGCTTATGATCTTAATGCAAGAGTAGTTGACTTAATCACGGAGATTAGAGTAAGTTCTTTTTAACTGGACTCATCGAATGAAATCTTTTTTCTCCAAGGATATTATCAGCAGAAATGTTTTGTTAACAAGTGAATCAGATGACTCTTAGACTGTTTTAAATTTAAAACATGAAACTATGTTAAAGATCATCCAGTAAAGGATGATGTATTTGCTTTCAGCTTATTTTAATTTTCAGTATGTGCATAAATTTTACACACTGATTAAGTTTATTTCCTGTCCACAGTCATGCGAATTTTTTTAACGAAAGAACAATAATTTGAAACTATATAAATTATAGAAATTGGACACATAGCTAACAGCACTGATGATTCTTGCTCTGTAATAAAAATTAGCATAATTTCCATTTTCGTTTTTTTTTTTTTAGTGAATGTGTTTTTACGTTAGAAATTGGACATGTGTTTTTACGTTAGAAATTGGACACTATGGCATTGATGGTTCTTTGTGAGCCCTGCAAGAAAAATTAACGCAATTTCCATTTTGTTTTTCTTACATATGTTTTTCAATAAATATGTTTTTCTTTATTGCTGAACAAATTTTTAGTACTAACAAGGATTGCTCACTAATTATCAGATTTAAAATCCTAAGATCTTTCTCTAATCCAGCTTAGTCCTATATGATTTTTAGTTTAGGTCTTTAAAATTTTGAGCTTTTTTGTAGTTAGAGGATAGAAGCGAAATGCTGAAAAAAATCCCGCAGATAGCAATCGATGAAATGTGTCGTTATGGTGCTTCTGAATTGCATGTTATCGCTTCGTTCATTGGTGGTATTACTGCACAAGAAGTGATAAAATTAATTACACATCAGTACATACCGCTCGATAATACATTTGTTTTTGATGGCCATACGCAGCGTGCTCAAACATATCGACTGTGATATTGTAAGTTTGATCTACATATAAAAATCTGCATATAAACCAAAAAAACCATAACCAAAAGGCCGATATTATTGTATCTGATTTTTTTGAATAAATCTTCCAACTATATTATTAAAAACGTAGTTAATGCATTATGATATCTCATTGACTTTTGAAAATGATATATACATGTGAATAAAGTCTTAGCCGCATTTCTTGTATTTGTATTGGTGCAAAGTAGAATGTTTGATCCTTAATTTTAGCGTTTTTTAGATGTCAGTTTTTTATGAGTTTTTATTAGTAAATAATTATATGATTATTTTTTTATTTTTGTTCATTTATTTGTATGTTTTTATTCTAATTATAATAAATTCAAGTCCATTTTCAAAATGGTCAACACAGCAATTCTTTAATCCTTTTTATTGAGGTTGGAAAGATTTTGATGGTTGTCTTTGTTGTTGTTGTTGGTTAGCTTGTTTTCACTATTATTGCTCTTTGTAGATTGCGTTGAAAAAGGTCCTGAAATTCAAAAATTCTGGGAAAGTCAGAATTATTATGTATTTGAAACCAATATGTAATAGTGTAATGAAGTGCAAGGTCAAATACTGATTCTCCGTTTAAAGCAAGGCAATCTTCACCTACCTTTCCTGCTGTTCTGTTCCTCACTGTATGCTCCTATACGTTCGTAATACTTATGACCTGAAACTAGTCTTTCTTAATAAAACTGCAACATAAAAATGCCGAGATATTAGAATACACCAAAACCTGGTTTCTTGTAAAAGTCTGCGTCCCGAATTTGTTCATATGTGTTTCCGATTCTGTCATATTGAGCGAAACCTGGAAAAAAGTGTCTTTATCAACTAATTAATTAGCTTCACAGTGAATGGAGAATATTCTGAATTCTTTTTCTCGTTGTCAGTTATAGTTATGGTAAAAACAATAAATGAATTTTGAGAAGGTTACTTATAATGTAATGTAATCTTTTTAGAGAACAAAAGCCCTGAAATTTTTATAATTAACCGATTCAATATGACAAAAAATAACTTACAAAAAGTGTGCAATTGAAAGAAATTATAGTCGGAACAGAAACAGCAAATGATTAGCAAAAGGACTGGAAATTTCATGATGAATGATGAGAAATGATTATTTGTTAAGTATTAAAAACACATGATAAAAAAGAAACATTTTCCTAATATTGTTAATCTTTCAAAGTATTTAATGCTAACATCATCGAAGTACAGTTTTTTTTCTTTCATACTGTAAATGCTGCGTTATTTATGTCAACATTTTTCAGAACTACAAATGAAAATTCATTGCTTGAAATGGCATTTTGATATTCTTTTGAATTGAAAATAAAACTAATTTTTGATGTAATTCAGATTCGTCAATAAGATTGATTTTTGATATGATTTAAGTTCAGTCTTAGCCTCTAAATATTCAATTCAGTACAACATTTTCCTTTAATACAACCTATTTTTTCTTCTACTTCTCATCTGGATTGTGCTACTAATAGAACTTTATTTTTCAAGAAAAAATTTCGTCCTAGGTTTGTTATTCTAAGCTACGATTAGTTATAACCTAAGCCATCAGCAAAAGTAAATCTCATTTTAAGTAATTTAGCTCATTTTAAAAAATTCTGCTTCCCCTAATTCTTAAGTGCAATTTATTTCAATGAAAAATGATTGCAGCCTTTAAATTTCATGTTTTTTTTTTTTTAAAGAAGACAAGAGAGTAACGATTTTTTTTTGAATTCTCGACATGTACGGAAATTCCTTTACTCTCAAGATTTTTGAAAATATTAAATTTTTTTTTGCTTTTTTTCTAATTTAATCAGCAACATATTAGAAAATATTAAAAAAAAAGAAGCTATGAAAGTAGTGCTTTTTTTATCTGCATGAAAGTAAAATGATAATTTTATCATGAAACAACTGAAATGCTTTTGCATCTTCTCATTTTCTAATAATGTTATTCATTCAAAAATATAATTTGATACTTTTATGCTTACTCGTTTTTATTCATTATAGAAAGCAACAAAATTGGTTTCGACTATTCTTGATGATGATTGGTGCAATCTGGTACCACTTGTTCGCTGAACCTCTCATCAATCACGAATTGCTTATCGGATATGCCGGTCGAAATCATTCGTTCGCTTTTATCCATTTCCAATTTGGAAAATTTTTTTTATTCAAAAATTCTTTCTGAAGTGTTGAAAAGCTCGTTAATAGTCTTTAAGCATATAGTTTTCTGTTTGACAAATTTTCTGGTAATTTAAAAATGATTGGTGGTGTTTTATCATTATTTACGATGTAAAAAATATTATACATTTTGAAGGAGAAAAAAAAACCATTTGAACTTTAGAAAATAATGTAAGGTTTAAATTAAGAGGAGGAAATTTTTTTTTTCTTGTTTTCAGTAGAGCTAATTTTTTAAACAAAAACCCAAATAGGAATTTTTGTTTGTGTGATTTTTGAAGGAAGAATTTTATTTAATGAATTCAAAAAAAAAAAAAATAATAATTCTCTCTTCCCTCTTTCAACCTCTATTCCTCTCCAGCTTATCAGAATGATACTGATGAATGTCATGTGTTTCGTTTTGTGATAAGCACTTATTGATAACTTCTTTGATGTGTCGGACATTTGTAAAATTTTAATCAAAACAGTTGTTATCGTTTAAAACATCCAGTTCCCTTTCATCTTTACACATTTAGCTCATCCATTGCTAGTTTCCATAAATTAATAATGCCTTAGTGTAGAGAAAAATTTTTTATTGTCATGCGAATAGCTAAGAATTATTGCATGACAAATGAAAATTATCATTTTTCTATTCAAATTTCAATATTAGTTTAGTTTGAGGAAAAATTAAAATAATGATTAATTGTAGTGAATTACATTTAGCGATACAAAAAAGAAAGGAACTATCCAAAAAAGCATAACAAATGAAATAAATGTCCTGATTATAGTTTCAGAATGTAAGGTAAGGTTGAAATTTCGAGCACATTTCAAAACGAAATAAAATCCTAAGTTTAAATGATGCAATTATGTTTATTAGTTTTAAAAGTTTCCCTTCCTTCTATTTCATTTTCTATCATTAATTAGGAACAGATATTATGTTTTTTTCCTTGAAACTTCCTAACTGCTTTTTTTTTCTAAAAGAGATGTAAAATCTATGTGAAGTGTTCGAATTTTGACCAATGATCAATCACCATATCTAAAAAATTTTTTTTTAACGATTCCGAAATATTTCTAATCTCGTATGATTTTTTTTCTTTTGAAAATTTTCTTTTGGAATAAGAAATATTTTCGTTTACAATTATTTTTATTAGAAAACATTGCTCTTTCATAATTCATAATTAAAGTCAGGAAGGATGCATCATTAAAAGAGCATTTGAAACTTCTTTCAAATTATCCATACCGTATTTGGAAGACAAAGTCTTATCTCCTAGCATAAAATGTAATCTTACAAATTGCATGCAAATTTAATTAGTAAAATAATGCTAAAACATTATTAGTAAGATTTTCGCATGCTTTTTATAATATATTTAGAATTGAATATCATTAGGTATTAATTAATTTCTGATCAAGTTCAATAGCATCTCATCTCATTTTACATTTTAAAAATATCTGATAAATGGCATCGAATCTTATTTATCAATTGCTCATATCTACGTTTTGTTATTTTTTAACTTTTCTCCTCAAATGCTTCAATTTCTTCGTAATCCTTAGCATTGTTGAGCGTAAATATGTTAATTTTGCTTTTCAGATAAAACAAAGAGTAAATAAAAATAAATAAAAGTACAAATAAATAAAAGGAAAAATAAAAAAAATAATACAAAATTAATCTCAAATTCTAAAACAAATTTGAGACTTCAAAGCAGTTGCGCTATTGTATTGACAATCGCTATAATTGTCATTTTATATTATTTTTAGAAAGTAAATTTATCAAGTTCTAAATATCAGTTATTAGAAATTGCTTCTAGAATGCAAGATTGATTTCAACTTTTATTTAAATATCAAATTTGTGTAATTTTTTCTTTTTTTGGAATTTACAAATCTCTGATCAAACAACATAAACAATGAAGTGCAAAATTTATTTCATTTTTTTAATGTAAAAATTTCACTGATTAATTTAAACATCTTTATGAGCTTGGCAGATCTGAATGAAAATTGATCGACTTATCAAATTGTGATGACTCAATTTTATCCTTTTAATTTCAGTTGCTTCACCGCTGAATTCTGCTCTTCTTCCACAATCAGTTTCTTCCAATTTTTTCACACAGTTTGTCAAACTTTTTTCTTCATTATTTCTTGTTTTATGAATGAGTGAAAAAAGTTCATGCTATAATTTTTGTCAAAAAAATTTTTGTAAAAAATCATTCGAACAAAAAAAAAATGATTTTCAATCATACAACATAAGATTTATATTTATATTTATCGATTGATTTATGAAAGTGATTATTCAAATTTTAATCAGATTTTTTACTCAGTAAACTGATAAAATGACTTACTAAAATTAATTGGAAAGATTGTTATCAATTGCTTCTATTAAGCTATAAATATACATATCAAAAAGAACAAAATATAAAATATGCATATTAAAGATGAGTTGAGGCATATTCATTAAACGCATTAAATTAATCAAAGATATTAAATTAAATAAAATAGATTTGAAACAATAATAATTTTTTTTTTTGGTACATGAAAAGAACAATAATAGAAATAAGTTGATGGATAATTATAGATTTATGCCATACGGAATCATAAATTATTTGATCCCCCAAGCTGCACTTTAAATTCATTCTGGCACTTTAAAATGCCGTAGTAGGATTTTCCAAAAAAAAAAAAAGTAAAAAAACTCAGTATATTTTTGATTTTTTAAAATAATTAAGCGTTAAAAATTGAGAATGCAGTAAATTGTTGTAATATTCAAATCTGCATTATATGAAAAGAAAAAAGCAAGGAAGAAAAATGAGGAAGTACTTGATCAAATGCAAATTGTATTTCGTGACTGACTCTTGAAAATTCAATTCCGGTAACGTTTTACTGTCAAAAATTTTCTCTCGATTTGAAGTATGAAATTTGTGCAATTATAAATGCTCTAAATGATCAGAAAAATTTTTTTCTGTTTCCTTTTTAGGCTACGATAAAATTTAATCTTGATAAAATAAATTTCAGTGCCAGTATTTAATTTAAATAAACTTTTTTCTCTTTTTTTGTTAAATAGATGTGATATGTGGAAGCAGAAATGATAGCCAATATACGCCTGCAATATTGATCTTCCCAATATCTACAATAATTAAAGATCTCAAATATTCCATAAATTATTTCATCTTTACTTCAATCCTTTTCTCTTATCATTATCCTACAATATGATCCATTTTATTCTTTTTGAAATTTTCAAAATTTCTTTCTTTTACCTAAGAAATGTAATATTTATGATATCGAAATTGCTGGCATAAATGTCTAATGAAATATTGTCCAAAATTTGTACTTTGTTTACAGTGAGCATTTAATATTTGTCTATTTTACGATGATAATTTCTGTTTCCATTAAATCTTTCTATTTTACTGAAGAAAAGAAAAATGAAAATCAAAAATTTGAGTAGCATATCCTTAAATCAAAGATATCTTCCGCATATTACACTTCAAAAAAAAAAGAAAAATCAATTCATTTATTTATCACTCTTAAAAGTATTCGTTATCACTTTCTTTTTTTTTTTGTCTTCACAAACCGTTACTATTCTAAGTGTAATTAGAATAGCATAAAATTTCATTCTTTTTTTGTTAAAAAAATTAGAGAAAAGGGAAAAAAAATTGAAATTAAATTTGTTTCGTACATTCTATTTGAGTACATTATCGATAGCATTGTATTTCATATTTGCCTCGTAAAAAACAGAAAATATTTATTCAATTCTAGGAATTAATTATATAAGCAATTCAATGTCATCTTTTAAATTATAGCTGATAAAAAAAAGATTTGAAGGGATAATCAATATCGCATAAATGGCCACGTAAGGCTTTTTCTTTCGACATTAAAATATCTCAAATGCAATAATAATTTTGCATTTCTATAAGGCGCAATTATCTATTCCATAATTGTTAATTCATTAATATTTTTTAAACCAAATATTATAATTCTATATGTGAGTGTAATAATATGTGATACGGAAATGTGCTCGAATAATTTACTACAGTGATTGATATTTGCTCAGCAAATGATGATTTGCAAAAAGTCGATTTATACTTATACAAATGTGTTTGTTGATTTTCAACTCATTTCATAAAATTTTGCTAATCGATTTTGTTTCGTTTATAACATTTATATTATTAAATAAGAATTCATTTATTCATAAATTATAAGTTTTGTTTAAACAGAAAAAAGGGTTGCCAAAATATCGCAATGAGAAGAAAAGTTTTATTTGAAGCTAATATTTTTTTTT